CTCTGGGCCTGGGTCCTGTCCCTCAACTCTTCAGCTCAAGGATAGAGCTCTACCACTTAAGCCACAGAACCACTTCCGGCTTTTTCTATTTATGTGGTGCTGAGTAATCGAACCCAGGGCGTCATGCATGCAAGGCAAGCACTCTACCACTGAGCCACCTTCCCAGCCCAATCTGGAGTGTCTGAATGTAAAACTCAAAATTTAAACAAGACTCAGAATATCCTAATACTCAAAATGTGGGGGATAGAATCCAATTGTATTAAAGAAAATCTTGATTTCCATGGAAAAAGAAAGTCAAGATAAGCCAATTATTAAGATTATTCAAATGACAGAATTATCTCACAGAGACTCTGGACAGGGCAACTATTATACAAATGGTCTTCTAAACAAGTAGACACACAAAATATTCAATTTTGCAAATTCTTCTTTTCCCTTTGTTACTTCAACCTAATGGCTCAGACTCCCAGACCTTCACACAAAAACTTTCTGATTGGGGGCTGGGAAGTGGCTTGCCTTGCATGCATGAGGCCCTGGGTTCGATTCCTCAGCATCACATAAGCAAAAAAGAAAAAAAAGCTGGAAGTGGCTCAAGTGGTAGAGCGCTAGCCTTGAGCTGAAGAGCTGAGGGACAGCGCCCAGGCCCAGAGTTCAGGCCCCAGGACCGCCCCCCCACACCAAAAGAAAAAAAAGATTATAGTAACCTCCACACAGTTAATCCAATTACCATTGCTCAGACCCCACTTGACCTGTTACCAGGGACTCACAGGGATCATCACAGCCACTTCCCTTTGCCTGGTTTCCAAACATTATCTTCTCCATGTTTTCACACCTCACAGGGGATTCCTTTTTCATCTCTCAGCTGCCCCTCCCCTATCTCAAACATGGTATTACTGGAGTCCCGAAGTTCTGGCCTTCCCTCCCTTACCTCTGCTCCCTCTTAGGCAGTATCACTTCACTGTAGACGCCATGGTGACTCTAGTCCAAATCTCTCTTCCCAACTCCCACCTTACAAACCAATCATCTAGTTGACACCTGTCTCAAAGAAGCCAAAGCTACATTCCAAAACCCCTACAGGCTACAACTCAGGGTTGAGTTGACAGAAATCCTGCAAGACTGGGTAAGATCAAAGAGAACTGTGTGCAGGAGGGAAGAAGAAAAAAAAAAAGAATTCTACCAAGTTTCGGTAACCAAGACCCCAAGTGTTTGTGCTAAACTTCCCAGTGGCTTCTGAGAGGTCCCCAAAACCAGCCAATGGACTCCCAAACCTGGATTACCACTAACTTCAGAGCACTCTTGGGAAGGGCTCACCATCTAGCCCTTCTGCCTGTGTGAAAGACACTAATTTATTTAAAACATGTCTCCCACAACTTCTGTTTCCTAGCCAAACGCTGATGGATACATTCTGTATTTATAGAGACCTGCTTCTAGATCTTTTACAGAAGTGCAGTGGGAGAAATATCAAACAGATGTCTCAAATCTTGGCACTGATTCTCCCCCTCCAAACCTTCTTTATTCTTCACTACCAGTTTACTATGGCCCCTTCCTTCCAGGTACTCAAAGCCATAAAATAACAGATGTCTTCTCATCCTTCCATATTCCTAACCAATCTAGTCAGCAAAGATGCTACTCTTCCTGTCATATCTGCCCACCCATTGCCCACATCTGTCAAGCCCACCCTGAGTCCCATCACTATTCACCCAAACAAATATAACAGCCACTTGCTTTGGTGGTTAACAAGGTGTCATGTCTACTTTTGCTGACCTGGTACCTAGGTCATCAACCAGTGAGTGGATGGCTGGGTCTAAAGCTGCCATCAGGGGCTGGGGATGTGGCTTAGTGGTAGAGTGCTTGCCTGGCACACATGAAGCCCTGGGTTGGATTCCTCAATATCACATAAACAGAAAAGGCCAGAAGTGGTACTGTGACTCAAATGGTAGAGTGTTAGCATTGAGCAAAAGAAGCTCAGGGTCAGTGCTCCTGAGTTCAAGCCCCAGAGTTCAAGCCCCAGGACTGGCAAAAATAAACAAAGCTGCCATCACTTTTATACTCAAAACTAAATGGCCTGGGCTGGGAAGGTGGCTCAGTGGTAGAGCCCTTGCCTTGCATGCATGAGGCCCTGGGTTCGATTCCTCAGCACCACATAAGCAAAAAGAAAAAAGC